CTGATTTCATTCTGTGAAAGATCTGAATCATCTTCATGAGGATGTAGGTCTGGGCTCCAGGTAATTTCTACTTCTTCATAGTCTTCATCATCAGCTTGCTTCACCTGGTCAGCTGAGCTGCTGATTGGAAGATCATCATCCTCACTTGTAAACCTGGTCAAGACATCGTCTACTTCATCCACCATGACGAGGGGCTCAGGGTCCTGCTGGTTCACATCAGGCCTCAGTTTTTCAGAAGATTCTTCTTTTATCGCCACCATTTGCTGAACATCTGCAGGGAACATTAAATCACATGCACAATATGAAATTCTTTAAAAGAAATAAAAATAAAAATTCATCTCTTCATGATATGTGGATGCTGAAAATACAAATTGAGGTACTATGATTACCACCAGTTGTTTGGTCACAGTGAACCAGAGAAAACAAAGTGGAGCCAGACTGTTACAAAAGCACGTTCATCTTGTTTAGTCTTACTGCTGTGATATAAATAACTAACTTATACAACTTATATAACTGTAACTTATACAGCGAAGCGACATATTTATGTTTTTTTCCCCATATTTATAACCCAATTTTTGGCTGAGATCTGACAATTTCATTCATTCCGACATGGAAAATATCGAACACTACCATTTTCAGCCACTAGAGGGCCCTCCACTAATATGACAAGCCATGCCATACCAAGACGCCTTCGTCTCCCACCTGAACTCCTGGAGCAAACATCAAATCAGCTGCATTTCACCGCGCCGCCCAGACAAAATACAGCTGATTTGACCGTCAAAGTGCATTAATTAATGAAAAGTTCAACTGAGACACACCTTTACTATAATATCGAGCAAACAAATAATTGTTTTTAGCTGGTTATCTTGTTAAAGTTCGACAAAATGTACAGCGAGTCATCTCTGCGTGCTCTCTTCTGCATATCGGCTTTTGAAATGCAGCTAATTTGAACACTGATGAGAAGGGTAAAGATTGGTTGTATTTTTGTGTGTGTGATGCTTACACTGTTTGTTACATCTTTATGAAAGTGTGTCACAACAACAAAGAAATCTCCAGCTAGTAACGCGGGCAGTGAGGTGCATCATCTGTGCTAAGTGTAGCTTCACGCTAACACGCTGCTTATCTGTATATATGCTACGTGTCAAATGTACATATTCCTGAAGTTATTTTAAGGTTTATTCTTTGTGTTTATAGTTCTCACGGTGGTGAAAGTGGTCTGGCAATGTGAATAAAGATGACATTGTTCAACTAAATAAAAGACTTCATCAGTTATCAAGAGCTCGTCCGTTGTGAGTTACAAGAGGGAGCAACACAGAGCCCAGAGTGACGACACCATGCTAGAATGAGCTCCAGTATGTGGGGAAAATATGGAAATAAATATAATAGAGTGGGAGAAACATATACAGCACACTTAAAGAATGGATCCAACCAAACAGTTTGCTGTTAATAATAATAATAATAATAATTTGTACACATCCTTTATGATTGTCCACTGTTGTCATCACTCTTTGTTTAAAATTCAGGTCTCTGGTAAATGAGTTCCCGAGGCTCAATGGGATTAATTAAAGGTTGAATTAATTTTACATATGCAAAACTTATTTTTTTTCAGAGCGTGTGAATATGTTATTCAAAGTGTTTAGCATAATTTTGCTGTTTATATGTAATGCCATAATAAATGTATGTTTATACTGTTTAAAAACCGCCTCTGTTTTACACAATGTGGTGGGTTGCCAGTTGGGCTTGTATTCATGGAGCTGGTTGCTTGTTTCTATCGCGAGATCTGGCAACACTGCCAGCCCTGGCACGAGGTATCCTGTATTTGTTTTTCAAGGAGTTGCCAACCCTAACCTCGAGGAATGTATTATTTAAAAAAAAAAAAAAAAAAGCTTAAAAATCTCCAATGTGGTCGTTATCGTTGAAGATAGTTTAGGTATAAACAATATAATTAATCATCCATCACACAATAACTACAATTAAACTGTAGGTTAGTCAGACTTTGTGTAAAAATACAAACCAAATCTGTTCAGTTGCTTTTTGGGGAAGGCAACAGGATGGTTTCTCTCAAAAAGCTGCGACGCTGCTGCATCCTGCGGCTGTTTCCACATCTTTCTTAGTCAAAAAGGTCTCTTTTAACACTTCTTGAGCACAGATGACAAGTACTTCTGGCTACATTGCCGTAAAATCACAAGCATGTCGAAGGAAAAGCATCTTTGAACGTTTCTTCTTCGTGGCTAATAGTTAATTGCCGCGGTGTGGCCGTGTCTCGCGCTCATTGGGACCCCTGCTGTTCACACGGTGAACTGCAGCCACTACCACTACTGTCCAACTCTAAAATGAAAGCAGACAAGGTCAGTTCATTTCAGTTTATTTACACAGCTCCAAGTCATAACAGAAGTCATCTCAGGGCACTGAACAGAAACATTTATATACATAACAAGTAAGTTAACACTTTTTATCTGGACATCTGGTTGGCAGGCCGCAGACTGACGAAGTCCTCCGGAAGGGGGACGAAACCTTTCTTACTTAAAGAAACTGGTCCAGATGACATGATTTAACCATTGTTTTGGGTAGTTTGTTGCTCCTCTATCAGAGAAGTAAATTCTACACATGAACATGCATCTTCCTCTCAATAGAGTAATTTTGTAACTGATATTAAAGTTCCTTTTTTCTTAACTATCAAAGTAAAGGAAGTCCATCCATCCATTATCTTTTACCTGCTTCTTCCATTTTGGGTCACGGGGGTCGCCGGTGCCCATGTCCAGCAATCACTGTGCGAGGGGCGGGGAACACCCTGGACAGGTCGCAGGTCCATCACAGGGACACATGGAGCAAGTAAGAGAGGACTTGAAGTTAGTTGGAGTTAGGACAGAAGACGCAGAGGACACAGTGAAACTGAAGATGATCAGTTGTGGCAAGCCCTGGAAAGCGAACAGCCGAAAGAAAAAGATAAGTAACTGTAGTGAACTTGACCCTGCATATGTCATACTACATAACTTTACAGCAACATCCTTTCAGATACTATAAACACAATGTGTAAGTACCAAGTATGTACATAAATGCACATCTGTTACATATAAAGGGTGCACCGATTGCAGTTTTCTGGCCGATCACCGATTTCTAAAAAGTCTGACCTGCCGATTCCGATTTTGTCCGATACCGATTTTGAGTTATAATTGACACTGTCAGGTGTTATAAGGTCACAATGCACCTTCAATTGTCCAATATTATTTTATTGAAAAACATACCCTTGAACAATATCCTAGAAACAATATAAACTTTTTAAACTGGCCTTGAGGTAACACTCTGAAATATAAATGAAGTTCAGACAATTGTTGTTAAAACTAACAAAATCGGTAAAATCGGTTTCTCGTGCAAGTATCGTCCGATTTCCCCAAATTAAGGAAATTGGGTCCGATTTATCGATGCAGCCCTTGTTACATAACATGTGAACATGAGATATTAGTACCAGTATAGTACGGAAGAAGTACCAGATACATGACCTGTAAGTGATCAGTATAAGAACCAAGTAAATACCTTTAAGTACTTGCCCAGTAAATACCAGATACATACCTGGTAAGTACATGGTAAGTATTTGGTATGTATTGTAAGTGCAAGGTACATACCAAAGAAGTATGTACCCAGTAAGTACCAGGAGTGACATATGTGCCCTGTAAGTCTTAGGTACATACCCAGTACATAGGTACTTAGGTATGTCAGTAAGTATATACATGGTGATTACCCGGTTAGCACCTGGAATATACAGGTACAAGTACATGCCCATAGGAAGCTGACGTGTATCAGGTATGTATATGGCTGTATTTCTTATTATTCCCCTTTGAATGACCTCAAACTCATATCAAGGTAATAACGTGATGATTAGGATACAGTATTTTTTAGAAATAAAAAAAATGGCATATTACTTCACATTTATGACCCAGAAATTAGTTTTATTAATTTTCTTTATTTCAGTCATCACAGCACTAACAAAAAAAAAGGGTTTTCTAATAAATACAAGAAGCTGAACAAGTTTATTTACTATAAATAAAGACTTGCTCGCGACGTCGTGACGTCACAAAAACGTAGTCAAAACAACCGAACGGTCTCACGCGCTCGACACAGAACCGAACCAACCGCTAATTTACTCTTTAACAGTTATCCGTGTTGAACTAACGCAGCGCCCTGAAGTTTTAATTTTCTATGATTATTTTATTTATTTACTTTTTATGTCGTGGTTCCTCTTCGTGCTCGTGTGAGCGGTACGGGGACGGTTAGCGGCTGTGGCGTCCGTCAGTAGCGGGGCTCTGGAGGCTGTCACTCGGCTGCAGCGGCGGGGCTCGAGCCGTGACCGGGGAGAAGGAGCAGCAGAAGCGGTACTGAATGTTTTCACCCACAGACACAGAAAACTCATTAACCAGCCAGCAAGGCGCTGAAGAAAACTATCACTCCGACCTGTAAACGTCTATGACCCCGACATTATTAGCTTGTTGTCTTTTAGCTTGTTTTAAGCTAACGTAGCTAAAATAGATTTCCGCTTTTTTGTGTTTGTGCGCACCAAAATGGCTATAACTCGTTCAGTTGTACAGCTATTGAGCTAAAATTAGGTGTGGTTGTAGCTGAGAATCAGTCACAACAAACTCACACCCCATTTTTTTTTTACTAAAGCTCTTCTTACAAGGACCGACTGACAGTGTTGCCAGATAGAGTCGAGGTTTTCCAGCCCAAAAGTCTGTTAAAAACCACCTCATCACACAAAAACCCGCCCAATCAATATATTGTTGTTTACTGTTTGAACACACACATATATATTGACACACACACAATACCCCCCACCCCCCTGTAAAGATATATTGGTGTTTATATGTTCATTAATGTGATTAATCAAAATCAGTTAAATGGGAACATTATTGCACTTTATTCAGAAAATCAACACGTCCCATTTCAGGATCTGGTTATTAAAGACACGGATTAAATGTTCAATATTTCTGTATTTGTCACCACAGTAATAGTGACACATTAGTAGTTGTTAACATTCAAAAGAATACATTTGCTGGTTTAGTGCTTACCTTTAACCTAAACATTTAAGGAGTAAACATTTTTAATAATCACTTTAAAAGTTAGACATGTTGTCTTTGGTGCCCGCTTGTTTCCCAAATGTAATAGTGTGTGCAAATGACAGGCATTAACATAAAACACTTTGTAGAACAGTGTTCTATGAAGTTCAGTCCATTTCCTTGTATTAGTTGACCAGCAGTTCCGCCACATCCAATATGGTGGTCGCTCCGACGAGCTGCAACGGGTCAGCCCACTCAAACCAGTTCTCTGTTGTGAACGCCCTGGCAGATGACAACAGCCAATAAGTGATGGAGAAAGATCGGGGGGGTTGCTATGAAATATTGATGAATGATTATTTGAAATGTTTAATAGGTTAACTCAGAAACCGCCCATCTGACTCCAAATCCGCCCAAAGCAATTTTTACCCGCAAAATCAAAATGAAAGCCGCCCAAGTGGTGGTAAACCGCCCAATCTGGCAACACTGTCAACTGAGAAAGGCCCTAACGACCCTCAGGAGGGAGGGGAGTGGAACTGATCGGCATGTAAGTTCAGCTGTCATAAACAGAGCGATTTCAAACTGAGAACGTCTCAGGTGAGAAGAAACGTCATCGACGACGGAAAAAGAAGTGCCGTTGCCTTCAATGAAGTTTATGCTTCATTTATCTCATAAAATAATTTAGATTTATTTACAATAAATATGTCATATTTAAAAGGTCTAAAGTATTTGTTTCAGATTAAATGTGTATTTCTCGAACTTGCTGAAGTTTTAGTCTTCAATGATTTGACACAATCTGCTGGCTTCCTGAGATAATTTTTACTAATTGGCGTTTTATAATACGCGTGAATGTTTTTGTGCAGTGACCTGGGATGACTTTGGTTGTGAACTGGCGCTTTATAAGTAAACTGAACTGAATGTAGGTTTTGTTTCTTTCTCTCTTTTTTTTTATGGCGTTTCAGAACAAGTGGACAGGAAAACTGAAAAATAATTCAGGGAAGTGAGTCAAACTGGAGTTATTCTGCACCATCTCTGTAGCTTCGTGCACAGCCCCTAACATGCATCATTGTAAGATTTTACATATTTAGTGCGTTTTATTTGGGTTTCCGAGATTATTGTTGGGATTAAGTATTATCTGACTTGATCTAAGTTGTATTTTTTTGTTAAATATGACTAACAAATGTGGAATTATTACATATAATCAGAAACTTCTCGGCCACTTGGACTTTGCTTATGAGTGTTTGAATAAGAGCTGGGTGTTGAGTAAATCCTGAGGTCATACTAGCCGTGTGTTTTCTTGTTGTATTATCACTGTATGTGTGTGTGTGTGTGTGTGTGTGTGTGTGTGTGTGTGTGTGTCTGTGTGTGTGTGGAGGGAAGGGCAGGACACAAGGCAGGGCGTTGTATCAAGACCAGCAGCTCCAGTTATTTGGAACAAAAGCTCAGTTGTTGAAGGATCATGTGACTGTGTGTGTGTGTGTGTGTGTGTGTGTGTGTGTGTGTTCCACCCTTGTCATGTGATGCCAGCTCGAGGCAGAGAAGTGCTGAGTCGATCTGAGGGTTTCTTCCAACGAGGCAGTATGCAGGCGGGCAGAGGAAAGGAGAGGAGAGATGTCTGGACAGACGGATGGACCGATGGATGGATGACCGACAGAAAATAAAGGAAATCCTCTTTTTTTTTCTGCTTTTTCACTTCTCGATGTCAAACAGGAGCCGAGTGAAGATGCGGGGCTTCATTTTGATTCATCCTTACAGCAGCAAGGCAAGTTTGGACTTGTTCTCTTATTTGTTTTGATGCGTTTGTCAGGATTGGTGTGGTGGTTCAGTTGTGACTGCTTTATTTCAAGAAGCTTGGAGACGGCTGCTCTTCCTGTCTTTTCTCACCCTGACAGTAATGAGCTAAGGACACATTTGCAGCTGAGACGTCTAGCTGTTATCAGGGTGGTGCAAATGTTTTTAATTCCTGGGATATCGGCGTGACTCAGTTAACTGTAAGCAGGGAAAAGGTCACACTTATTCTCTTTGATTGTCCTCTCACTGTGTTGGAGTGATATGATTTAAGAGCAACAGAACAGGACAGGGTGAGAAGCAGTCAAGCCGCTACGTGTCCTCAGTCGTTTGCAGGTCCTGTAATACTTGTTTGAATGCAAACTGCTCGAGATATAGAAGTGGCTCGTTTTGTGTAGGCGGCTGCCTCTTCACCTCTTTGCCGTGCAGCATGCACGTATTTTTCCACCCGACGCACAAGGCAGGCGGGCAGGACTCTGAACTTTGACACTCCCTTTCACTCTTTCTCTTATTGACTTTCAGACTAACGGAGCAGAATATGGGTTATTGAAAAATGTGTGTTTCACAATGTCCCAACTGTCCCTTGAACTTACTCAATAACGTTTGTCGGTTGAGTTACATCATGCAGCCAAGCACATGTTCATTCAACTATGTATCTTTATAAACTAAAGATCTCGGGTTTAATTTGTTCGGTATCTCTCAACTAGAGAGAAAAACCCTGCAGGATGAGAAGCATCATCTATTTCTGAGAATTTGTCTTCAGGTTTTCCTGAATGGACCTGACAAGTCTTGTCTTTTAATAAAAACAGTATCAGTCGGTGATGCAGTATGACGTTGAATAATTGAGCAGCACAGCGTGGCTCATTTATTAAACAGCAGTTAGAGTCCTGACGACTTCAGACGATCCGGTGTGAGGATGTTTTATGGTCAGGCTGCTGCAGGACATTTATGGACAATTATTAATCTCCTGCAATGGATTGTCTTTTGACTGGAAAAGTCAAAAGATGGGACTTTGTTGATGCTTAAAATAACAAGTTGTGCTTAACTCTAATAAGTTACTGTGAATAACCACTTTTTCTGCAAACATGCTATTTTGAGAGCTGCAAGTAATTACATATTTACTTTTTATTGTTACAGAAGGAACTAAATGTTGGGAAAATAGAGCAATTTGCATCAAAAAGCACTTTCTGTTGTCTTTCCTCTGAGCTTTGGCTCAACAATTGATGTTGCAGCTGAGAAATAAATCATTTATGGCTTATTAGTTTGTTTTAATAAGATACCAAATCATATCAAGCATATCTTATGTCCATTTCTCCTGTAAAACAGTTTTACTTCTATTTCTTTTCATTTATGTCTGCGCACAAAACTGAAAGCAATCGCTGCTGTTTTGCTGCGGTCAGTTGCACATAATATTTTTTACTGTTTAATTTAATTTGCATTAATTTTTATACCTTCATCTTGCAAGGAATACACACCGACACGTGCATGCACACATCTACGTGTGTATATAGTTATTTTTTCTGTATTTAGTGAACGTTTTATCTTATAAGCTGTCTTTGTTATGGTTTATATGTATTGAAAAGTGACGTCTCCTGTTGTTCTTGGGCCAAAATGACCCAGTTTTAAAACTGAGGGCTGAACGAACACGACTTTTCATGCACGAGATGCACAGCCCACCTTGTAAACTACTTCACCTGGCCTTTAGCTACACCTTGTAAATAAAAAGAAAACTGCTTTAAATTGACTTAACTGTTGTTTGAAACAATAACATTGTGGTTTTTTGATTTAAATAAGTTCCATCGCTCATATGATCATCACACACCCAGGTTTGATACGTGCACACTCGATGTTTGCGTCTAAAATCTGCCTTTTTTTAAACTACACACTGTTCACTATCCAGAGTAGTTACCATAATAGCTCAAATGAGTAAAAGACAATAAATAAAATGTGAATGAAAATGGCCGTGTCATTTTGCTCCAGTGCTGTAAAATGTTGGTTTTGTAGCTAAAATGTGTCAATTGTGAATTGACTATGTTTGGTTTGGTACACAGGTTGGTTTAAAGCCATTGTGAAGTATGAAATCAAACAGAAAATCTAAAAAAAAGTTAAGTCTGGTCCTCTGGACGGGTTCAAAAAACAACCTGAAGAAGTCTTTCGGATGAAAGACGAAACGTTTCTACAATTTTTTGTCTTTTGAACCAGTCCAGAGGACCAGACTTAACTTTATTTAGATTTTTCTACCTGGATTATTGAGCATGCATCAGGATATTTCAAGCATAGAAAAGTTCATCCTGAACTATATCAAAGGGTACAGTTCGAAGAAGTTTACACCAGTAGTTTTACAGATAAACCGGTATGTTATTTTGAAATGCGGGTAGGCGTTCAGCGTAAATAAAACATTCTGACGAATTCGCTGAAAACAATATAGAAGCTTGAGTTATATGATTGACCTATATTAGACTCTAGTCTCTGTAGGTGAATAAATATGGCCAATAAGTTGAAGATTTGACCAGTTTTCGTAGGTTAGGCATCCAGTCTCAGATTTTGTCAAGTGGAATGAAATAATGTACACAGGGTCCCAGTTAGACCCAACAATATCAAAAATATAAAGTGTAAATAAGAAACAGTATAAAGGATCTAAGATATACGCCAAACGCCAAAAAAATCTAAGATACATGCAAAACACTAATAAGCACTAATTTGTTCCCCAATTAGAAATTTAAAGACACAATAACTAATGATATGAGCGCAATAAATAATGGTTTGTTTCTGACTATATCTTGTTGTAAATTAAGCTTCATAAAAATATAAATATGTACTTTATGTCTTTCTAAACTGCACGTGTTTTTTTACTAAGTGAAGCTGCATGATTCAGGTTACTGTCATAGATATGTTTGGTGAAAAGCAGAACCCAAAGTGCAGAACCAAACTCAAAGGTAGTAACAAAAACTAAGAGCTGACGAGGCAGCAAAAATACTCGAAGGAACAAACTCGAATGGCGTGCAACGCGAAATGCACGGACCAGGATCGAGTAACAGGACACGAGTTATAAAGGGAAATTAAGGAGGGAGAAATGATGACACAATGATGAGGAGAGACAACAAAGATACAACAGAATTTCGCAGGTGGAGGTTACACACTCGTGTGCGATAATAGGTGGCAGTATGCACCTCCATGTTGTTTCTGATCCGCCATTAAAGAAAAGAAGAGCAGGTGAAAACTAACAGGAGAAAACTGGGTACGCTTAAACACAAGTAAAACAAATACAATAACTCACAGAAAAACTAAATACTGTAAAAAAAAACACAAAAGATACAGATCTTGCCAATAGAAATGACTTTAGAATAAGCTGATTGAGCTGTTTTATTCTGGTGAAGATAAACTTCAAATATCTGCCCTTGCACAAAGACAAATGTTTAAATGTTTAGATTGTGATGGCCTTGTTAGCCTAGCTTTAGTTGTTTTGCTGAAATTGCTTCTTTATGCACCTTCTGTTTGTGCATTTTGGAGGTTACCGATACTTTTTGTTTTGTTCTTGCACACCTGACTCAGCAGTTTAAAAAATAAGTTGCGGGATGAGGTGGAGAATCGGTTTAGGGACGTTGAGCAGTTGCCTCAACGTTCCTGCTTTCCCTCTTGTCCTAAAGGAAGTTGTCCATCCAGCCGAGCAGCACAGAACAGGAACTGAGAGCCGTGTGGCTCTTGGTAGGAGTAACCTCGGCTTCAGTCCACTCGGACTCCACTTTCCTCTGGACGGGAATGACTTGGCTCTCTGTCGGGGTTTCTCTTCCCCTAGAAGCAAACGGACAAATCCCAGAGGATGAAACTAGAAGCGGAGAGGAGTTGGATGAAATCTTGGATTTTAGGGAGATCTTGGTAGATGGTTGCAGCAGAGATGGTGTCAGATTGTCAAATATGTCTTAAATAGCTGTACTTATTTTGAGCATAAGAAGGTGAGATTTAAACTAATAAATCCCTTCAAACGTCACTCAGAAGATAAATATCTGTACGTCAAACAGCTAGAAAACATCTGGCCTTCTGAACTAATCCGTGCTTCTTTGTTTTATTGACTGTTACTTCTGCAAGGTGTGTGCATTTTCCTAACAATAGTAATTTATTCTTTGTTTTTTGTTTTTTTAGTGGTGGTTGTTTACCACGCACGTGGATGCCACCAGAAAGAGGAGTTGCTGGACGCTGTGGAGCATGAACCATGACCTCGGTGGTGCTGGTTGACTCTGGTGGAGCTGTGGTGAAATACGTTGTAGCAGAAGAAGACCTCCAGCAGGTACGGTTTAAACACAAACTTCTGAAGTCACATTGTCTGCAAAAATACTGCGAGCGCTGAATCACTGGGTGAAAAGGCTAAAAAGTTATTTAGCAAATTTCTAACTAAAAGCCGAAACAAGCAGAACACTTGCTAAAACCCCAACGCGGTAAACATTAGCTAAATGTTAAAAGTAGCAAAAGGCTAGCTAAAAGATAAGTATAGCAAAAGGCTAACTGAAAGTAGCAAAATTGTAGATAGAAGCTAAAAGTAGCAAAATGCTAGCTAAAAGCCAGTTGTGTCAAAAGCTATCTAAAAGGTGCATCAAAAGGTTAGCCAAAGTTAGCAATCTAAAAGCAGTGAAAGGCTAGCTTAAAGCAAAAGGAAGCAAAACACTAGCTATTATCTTAAAAAAGTAAAACACTAGCTAAAAGCCAAAATTAGCATAACACTTGCTAGATGCTAAATAAAGTTATGGGCTAGCTAAAATAGGCAAATGTGTTGCTAGAAATTAAAAGTGCCAAAGGCTCACTACAAATAGCAAAATGCTGGTGAAAAGGAGCAAAAGGCTAGCTAAAAAGAAGCTAAAAGTAGCCAAAGGTTGGGTAAAAGCAGCAATTTTTTATTTTTCCATTCACCCTTTATTTATCCAGGTAGTCTCATTGAGCCAAGAGAACTCATTTTCAAGAGGGACCTGTTTGGGGAGCAGATGGTGGGGGTTGGGGGCCTTGCTCAGGGGCCCAGGGTGGGGCGAGTGAGGGTGGAGGGAGGTGTGGGTGTTCCACCTTTTCCACACACATTTTGATGTTGACGGTACTGGGAGTTGAACCTGCGACTTTCCGATCACAGGCCCATCTTCTAACCTCTGCGCCAACACTCCCCCACAAAATGTACTAAAAGTAGTATAACAGTGGCTAAAAGTCACAAACACCTAGCTAAAAGCTAAACGTAGCATAAGAAGACTAAAAAGAGCCAGTATGAGAAGAGAATTAATGTTTTTTTTTAAAGAAATGAGCTTTCAGTGTTTTTCTATGAGTAAAATATTTTGAGGAGTATAAAAAATATATGAAACAAACAAACACAAAACAAGGAGAACAATCCTGATTTAAAGAAGAGAAAGCTAAAGAACTGTGAAGAATTAAGGTCTTCATGTTACCCGTTGTTGTAAATTCTAATGTAGCCCTGCGTCTCCTGTTCGTATTCCCTCAGCTGGAGGATGTGGAGGAAGAGGCCGATATGGAGCAGGAAGGAGAGGTGGAGGGCGAGTGTGAAGCCGAGGAGGCGTGTGACGAAAGGCAAAAAGCTGACGAGCGCCCAACGGTCTTAGTGAAGGAGCTTCCTGGCGTCATGGCCGTGGACCAAGGTTACTCGGCCCAGGTGTGGATGTGTGGAGATGAGGAGTACATCATGCAGGAGGTGGAGATGGAAGGAGAAGGAGGTGAGATTATTACAGAGATTGAGACAATCACCATTTCTGTTTTCGTAAATTGGTTTTCGTTTGACTCAGTGTGAATGAAAGCCAACTTGGTTATGATTTTATGAATGAAGGGGAGTTGCAGGACGTTGTGTGGGTGAGTTTCTTGTTTTTGGACCCACTGTGGTCACAGAACGCTACAATGAGCTGTCAGTCAGTGGACAACAGCTTGAGCAGCGTTACGTTGCATTTTATTCACCTCATTAAACAGAGCTGACGTTAAACTCACAGAGAAGCTGAGCAGAAAACAGCTGATGGTTTTCAGCACAACACATGAAGATCTTCAGCTCTGACACGGAGCTCTGTGAAGGCCCTTATCGTTTTATATGCGCCTTTATTTATTTTATATTGCATCTGTTAGCTCATCAAGCTCATGAAGCGATAACACGGTGTTTTGTTGATTCTGTTGGATACGGCAGAACCTGTTCAGTGGTTTTAGTTCGGCAGGTTTTTGTGTTCCCGTGCTGCCACCTTGTGGGTTTATTTTAGACACTTGGTGCCTGACGAACAACAGATGTGACTAATATTAACAAAATAATCATTAAGTTATTCCTTATTCTCTGCTGTTCTGAGTAACAGCTGTAGACATTATAAACAAATAAATATTACACATTAAAGTTTTCAAGTTATACATTACATAGCTCATATACAGTACATGTATTTATATAAAAAGCTCTTAATCTTAGCAAATAAAGTGATGGTTTTCAGAAAAGTATGCCACATGTTTGATAAATTTGTAGGTTGTCTTTTGTAGAAAAGCTTTAGTGGAAAGAGAAGGTATTATATCCTCATGTATAAGAGGCCAAGACTTAAATTTAGCATGAGAAACACTCGTAATGTTAATTTCATAGTTATTTTTAAAGTCAATTTTAAGTCACTTGAATCCGTTCGATCAGTCTCAAGTTGAATGAAATCGACGTTGTCTTCTGTGAAATTTACTCTCATGTAATTCAAGACAAATTAGAGTTCCCATCGAGGACAAAATTAAACTCTTTAACAAACAAGGCTGCAGAAATTTATTTTTCCCAGTGCTTTATTCTCTTGACCAACGTATAAAATGATGCACAAATTTACAAACCTTTGTTTCACCACTGAATGAAAGGTCGCACGAATAAACGTTTTGACCTCACGCTACTTCAAACCCTGGCTGACGGATGTTTTAAGCATTTATTTATTTACTGTTTTCCATTTTAACTGATAAGGTGCACCTAGAGTTAATGGGCAAAAAGCATTTAAAAAAGAACGTGTAATATAATTTAAAATTGTTCTAATTCTCACCTTTCTTTTTAATTAGATTACAGAGTGTACTTTTAAAACTGTGCATCCAGTGCAGCAGTTTTCAGGTCCTTTATGACAAAATTATTCACATAAAACATTATCATTTAGACTTAGTGAAATATGGAAGACAGGATAAGAAAATAGGTTAACTGTGCACCAGATGAAAGTTATACGAGTTAAAAGATTGTTTCTAAAGAAAAATATAGAATAATTTATGTAAATAACTGGTCATGCCTTTTTGCATCTATTTTTTTTTTATTAAAATAGAAACGCTTTTATCCTACCAAAATAAATCAATTGTTTTGTTATTTTGCCCAACCCCCCTGTGTTTGTAACATAGTCATAAATTCACAATATTTTTTTTTCTTGTTTAAAATGTCCAGCTAAAGAACCTTAAAATATTTTTTCCCAGGTGCATTTTCTTGTGGCACTCTCCCATCTCATTTATTTTATTGTCTTCCATTTGTTGGTGTCAGATTTTTTCATTCTGTTTATTTCAGTTTAATTTTGATTGTGCAGGTACAAAAACTGTTGCATATCAAACAATACTGTAGTTGTTTTGAACAAAGGACTATTTTTTGTTTTTATTTTTTGTTTTGAACAAAGGACTTGTAGCCAACTATTTTTTTAATTGTGAGGCTTTTAAGAAAGCTAAAACTAATACATAAGTTTTATCATCTTTAACAAACCTAAAACAAATAATACTATAATAGAATAAACAATGATACATCAGTAAAAAGATAATTATATATAACTGTTGATAATGTTCATTTATTTATTGTTGTTTGAGCCGCTGTTTTACTTGAGATTGAAAGACTTTAAAACCATTTAACGCCTCTTGTTTATTTGTTTGTTTTTCCACGAAGACCCTTAAATTAAAAATATCATCCAAATTATTTTTATTTTGCTGGTTTCTGATTTCTATTAACTTCCATTAACTTGCACCGCTTTTAAAATAATTTTAATAATTACCTCTGGATCAAGATCGGCGTTAATTTGCTCTCCATTTGTCATTGATGTGAGAAATAGGATCTAAAAATGATGTAGAAATTTAGGTACCACGTGTACATAATTAATAATCCACCAGTCACTTTGTGGTTTTTGTTATACAAATAAAGTTGGGAGGAAAAAAATGTAGCTGGATTTGACGTACTGCTTACGCAACGGAGGGAGGATTTCCTGTGTGGGTGGCGGAGGGATACGTCTCAGCCTCGGTGATGCGTCTCGTTGAGATTTCCCTTTAGCGGCGGAGTGATCCCAGGAGTGAGAAGTCAATGTGAATCTGCAAAGGTGAAAAAACATGACGACTCCGCAGCATGAGGGCCACGAAAACCAGCTCGATCTGCTCATCAGAGCCGGTAAATATGCGTTTACGTCCTCGGAACCTCGACCTCAGTTCTACCGCCGCCGCGCCGGCTGTTGTTTTCATCCTCGACCGAAGTGCCGTAGCCCGCCTGCCGCGGAGAAGTAATGGAGGGATTCAGGAAGTGATCGACCTGCATGGCGCTGCTGCGCGGAGATTAAACCCGCTTTAAAAATGCTAAAAAACCTGCACGTGGACGCGTTAGAGTGCGCGGTGGGATTCATGTGTGCATGAAACGTGCTTTGCATATTTCGGCTGGTGTTTTTCTCGCAGCTGGATGATGTTGAATAACGGTTTGCACGAACCAGGAAGTGTGTAGTTGTTGTCTTTGCCACGCTGTCTGGGTCGGAAGGACATGTGTGTTGTTTATTTTTACACGAACAATCACCAAGTATAACCCTAAAATGCACTTATTTTTGATTATTGGTAGCTACAAATTTCCATTTGTTTCCTAAAACGCTTCCAGTTAAATTTACATGAAAAGTAGGTTCTACACTTTAAAAAAAAATTTGGTCCCAATGGGTGAATTTTCGTTTTCAGTCTTTATTAGGCGCATTGGTTTGACTTTTTTGCTCTCCAGGTTTCCGTTAATCGTATTTTGCAGCCTCCCGTCGCGTGGGACGGCCCGGATCGCTTCTCTTTCTTCCCTGCTAGCGACCAATCAGCGTTCAGAGGAGGCGGGCCTTAGCGTCGCTTTTCGGCCAATAGTCGGGCGAGGCGGGTGTTGAGTGACAGGAGGATTTGTGAGCTTCTTCAAAGAGAACTGGAGGGAAATCACAAGTGTAAACACGGAAATCATCCGAAGCGGAACTACTTTGTTCCAAATGCTAGGTGTTAAGCATTATTAGGAATAATGCATTTACTTGAGCATTATTGTATTTTTTCAAATCAATTGTTTTTTTTTTTTTAGGAATAAAATTATTGTAACTTGAGACTGGGAGCCTTTTGACTTCACACATTTTGGTGGTCGTATTTCAGCAATGGTTGGCAGCAGGACGCCATGTTTGTTTGAGAGAAGATCTGAATGAGTGGGGCGGTCTAAAGATAGCCCGTTTCTCTCATCAGCATGGTTGGATACCCAAACATGGACCGGGCAGGGTGTAATGGCATCTCATGTTTCCCATTGGTGATTGACGACAGCAGCAGGTGCCCTGGGTTCCCTCTGCAGGTCTCAAAGGACACCAGACTTCCCTTACTAAATTTATGTGTAAACTTTATTATCATTGTTTATGTAAAGAGGTAAACAAGCTTTACTTCTAGGATTCCTTCTGCTCACTAACATTTCTGCTTATTATTACTTAATTACATAAATGCTCTCTAAAACAAGCCTGGATTTCTGCATCAAGCTGTATGTTTGTTGATGCAAAGAAAGATTTCCGTGGCCCCAAAACACAAAAGCTGTTCGCAAGGAGGCACTATATGACTGTGCATGTAGCACCATTTTGACAGTGTGTTAGTGACTTAAAAGTACATTTTTAGCTGGTTTGTATTTGGAGGAGTTTTTGGTTGGGCATGCAAAACAAATGTTTGATTTTATATATAGATTTCAGACTAAAAGCGTTTTGTGTTTTTTCCTGTAGAGGTGTTCAGTCAGGTGTAACTCAAGCTTTCTTTCAATTTAAATGTTGACTAATTGATTTTGTGGATGTTTTTTTTTATTATAGTGGAAGCTTCTGTTCATGGCACCAGCATCCACTGCTCTGATAAAACGATTGAGGCCGCAGAGGCTCTGCTTCGCATGGACTCACCGTCCAGCCTCAAAGAGGAACGTAGCCCAGGTAAGACCCTGTAAATGTGGGTTTACAAAAGCATAGACTGGAAAAAACATTGGCTTATTTCAGTAACCCCTTAACTGATGTAAGTTGACCCTCAGGAAGTGCTGACACTTAACTTATTTTTCTAAACTGTTTATGCATCATTTTCTTTAATCATTCCTCCATTCAGAAGCTTTTATTCCACAATGTGAAGTGACACCAGACTTCCTCCACGCCGCCATGAGGCCTGACATGATATCGGAGGTGGAGATCTCGACTGAAGACTGCTACGAGGAGGAAGATGAGATCGGCACCTTGATGGAAGACCCAGAGCCTGACAGCGAGCCTGTTAGAAAAAGGCGAGGTACACAAACGACACGACTTCTTTAAATGTCAAATCTGTAGAACGTGCTGTAGAATGTGTTCATGTTAATTAACTCTAGGGTGTATTATTTATATTGAACTGTCTGCTCTAAAACCTGAAAACAAAGACAGTAACTCCCAACACGAGTTGGTCACAGAATTAAAGAGCCCCATCTAGTGGTCAGATCAAATCATAAGGAGGCGGAGGTGCACGTGTCAAAGGATGGATGAGGAGTTGGAACATGGTTTCCACGCTCTCTTCCTTATTTAGGTTTCTTAAAAATAAAAACAAGTAATGTCAAAAAGCAAACTCCTTAAACATGTAGACCACTTTTCACTTTGCTTTTATTTCAGAATGGAAACTTGGCAGCTGTGTGTGAATGAGAAACACTGAAACTTTTTGTAGCTATAACTGACTTTTAGGAGACTCTTTGTAAATACAAATAATTTAATGCCATTCTGTGCTGTCCGCAATTAGTCTGTTCATTCATCTCTTCTTTAAGACGTTCATAAATATTTATTTTCAAGGTTCCAGGTGACTTTATTGTCATTTGCATCACGTGGTACATGAGGTGGAACGAAATTGTGTACTCAGGTCCCAGTTACACTCCAAAAATAGCAAAAATATAAACTATAATAAAAAGAAAACAGTACAAGGATCTAAGGTATATGTTAAACTAGGGCTGGGCCATATCATATCGTTCACGATAATAACGGTAAAAAAAAAAAGCTTGCCCGGGAAAATAAATGATATGATATGCTAATTTCATGATGTAATACACCCCCTTAACAGACCCGAGCACATCGAACTACAGAACCGAACTGCGCCCCCACCCCCCCTCCACCTATCAGTACTGGCGTAACGCTAATTAGTTGCGCGCAATACTAGCTAGCTAAAAACAAACAACTCGCGGCTCGGCTGCATCGCTCCATCCAGCTCTAAACTGCAGGTACAGACAGCTCAACTGTCTCTCCCCCCCCCACCCCGCTCTGAGCTGCCGGTGCAAACACGCGCAGGTCTGTCTCTTAGTTCCACAGTCCATGGAGCAAGAACAGCGTCAGGCGCTCAAAAACAGATCATCAGAGAATCGTTCCTGCAGGAACAGAAGAAGCTGAAACACCACAAGCTTCAGGGTCAGCTGATCACCTTGTTACAAGTTCTGGAAGTTCTAGCTCATTTAAAGGAAACTTATGTTTCGTTGTATGTTACATTTATGCTCAACGGATCTTAAGATTTAATTTTATTTAGTTATTTTGGGAAACTTCACCTGCATTTTAGTTTTTGTGGTGGATTTTGTTGAACTGTATTTTGTGCAGATGTTTTCAATCTAAATAACAGAAGGATCTTTTTTATTTTTATACTTGGAGACTGAATTCTTTACTAAATAAAGTAATTTCAGTAAAATTACCCCCTTTTATTTTATTTTATATATAATACTACATACAAAGCAACATTTTAAGTTAATTTTGTCAAATGAATAACTATGATTTCTGTTTTTTTTTTTTTTTTTTTTTTTTTTGGTTATATCACAAAATTTATCGTTATCGCCAGAATGCTGAAATATCACAATATTATATTTGAGCCATCTCGCCCACCCCATGCTAAACAATAATAATGTAATAAGGTGTATAAACAGCAGCCTGAACATTTTGTGCTAATTTATAAGATGTTAATGTTCAAAATGAACATAAAGTTTTGTCAGAGAACACTCAAACCTTGTGATTATGAGCATATAATATTATTATTATTATTATTTATATATGAATGTTTCTGTTCAGTGTCCTGAGATTACTTCTATTGTGATTTGGCACGATATAAATAAACTGAATTGTATTGAATATATTATTTTAATGGGTAAAAAATAATTTGTTCCCGCTTTTCTACTTTTTATACAATCTGTTTTTTAATCGTATTTGTTACATGCGGGAAAAACAACTGACCATCATTAGATGTCGACTGATGGTTGTTGTTTTTATTTTTTTATTGCTAATCTTTAGAAAATAGGGCAGCCAATGGTTGATCTAAATCTTTTGTTTTTAAATTCTTGGCCATTATGTATTATTATTATTATGTATATATTTTCTGTTTACTAAAAATATTACTTAATTGCTTAACCTTAAAGACCCATTTAATTAACAACGCTTAGAAAAACTTGGACACCTACCTACAAATATATACATTTTTAGGTGATTACGTTTGTACAGGTACAGACATGCTGATGATATTTTCAAGTGGAAAATATCCGCTGGACAACCTTGTTGTCATTTTACTACTATTGTACTTGAATATAAAAATAAGGGTCAGAAATTGAAAAGGTGTGGCATCTCAAAGTGGAAGTTTTGTACGAACCCTTTCTCTAAAATTTTATTTTATTATTTTTTTAAGCTGGACGCAAACTGAAGACGCATCAGGCAACTATTTCCAACGGTTCCCCAGATCTGGGCATCAGGAAGAAGCCAAGAGAAGGCAAAGGTATCCAGGAGTCTAAAGAACGATGTTTATTTTACTCATGAATGCTCGGACGATGGAACGTTGGTATTTAGTGGTGCGGTACTTTTCATATCCAGCAGGGAATACCACGTACCTGTGGGAGTTTCTGCTGGATCTCCTCCAGGATAAGAACACCTGTCCCAGGTACATCAAGTGGACACAGAGGGAGAAGGGCATCTTTAAACTCGTTGACTCTAAGGCCGTGTCCAAGCTTTGGGGCAGACACAAGAACAAGCCAGACATGAACTACGAGACCATGGGTCGAGCTCTCAGGTAAAACACCTGCAGAGAGATTTCAGGAGCAGGTTTCGAATCCAAAGAACAGTTTTAATGTTTGATTATTTAACTGTCTGCAGATATTATTACCAGCGTGGCATCTTGGCCAAAGTGGAGGGCCAGAGGCTGGTTTACCAGTTCAAAGACATGCCCAAAAACATTGTCATAATCGACGATGACAAGGCAGACATGTCCTCCCCTGAAGATCTGATGAGTTCGGGTGCGGCAGCATCTTATGAGCGTGTGCATCCTCCGTCTGACATGCTGGTCCAGGCCACTGATCGGCCGCCTATGAGGAAGCCCAACATCTTGCGAGGTTCTAACAAAACCAACGTAGTCCAAACCTCCACGGGCAGCAAAGTGGCACCAGCAGGCGGACCTGTGGTGACGGCTGCAGCACCGAGGATAGTTGCAGTTTCTGCAGAATCCGATGGGGTCCAGTCCCAGCAGACTCACACGACCGTGATTTCAAACGCATCAGCACCAAGGTTAGATTCCTGCAGGAACACCAGAGCTTCTGCAACTCTGTTGTCACGTTTTGACACTTCCTCTAAAAGATGAGTACCGATTTCTGATCCACAGGACGGTGCGAGTGGCGATGCACATGCCAGTTGTTATGACGACGTCGCTGGGTCAGAAGATTCCCACGGTTGCTGTGCAGCAGCCTGCTGGAATGACGGGGGTGGCCAGCCCCACCACCCTCCTCACCAACACGTCCGCGATCGGCACCAACACCAACTCACAACAGAAGGTGTGTGCTTGTGGACACGTCACGCTGCTGTAAAGGTGTACTGGTACTGTGGTACAGAAAGACTTTGCGTAATTGTACACGTTGTATAGACGATACCCAATACTGGTATCTGTATTAATGCATCTCTAATAGCCTCAGTGCCACATCTTTAGAAATGAAAGTTGTGCGTAAAAGTTTAGTTTAACCATGTTCTTGGTGGAACTTGTCACAAAATGATTTGTTCTTCGTCAGGTTGTGATCCAGACAATCCCCACCATAGTCCCGGCCACAGCGGAGAACGGAGACAAGATCACCGTCCAGCTCGCCAAGATCATCACCATCCCAGCTCACCAGTTGGCCCAGCTCCAGACCTCCGCAGGAACCAACAAAGCCGGCGTAACCGCCACGCCGACGGGCCTCAGTCTCTTAGGCAGCCCCCTGGCGGTCCGCGCCCTGACGCCGGTCAGCATCGCCCCGGGGTCGCAGGTGATGAGGCTCACTGTGCCGACGCAGGCGCAGCCACAGACTCTCGTGGTGTCGCAGTCAGGAAGTGTCAGCTGCGCGCCGACTGTGTCAACGGCCAATCAGATGGCAGTGTCGGCGGCGCCTCGCATCATCGGCGGGGTCATCAACGGCTCGGAGCTAGTGCTCGGAGGAGCTGGAGGCGTCACTCTGGACAAGCTTAAGGCTATGGGCATCCAGGTCCAGGCTGTGCAGGTACCGGTAATGGTCCAGCAGAACCAGGCGAACCCCAAGACTGTTCTGAACTTGAAATCAGAAGCCGTGGACTCGGACGCGGTCGTAAAACTGGACGCACTGAACGCAACAAAGACAGAAGAACCCGAGTGTTAAAACGAAAAGTAGTTTGTACTTTTCTGTTTTTATGAACAGCAGCAGTCTGCAAGACTTGACTCCCGAAGGTCTTCTTAGTCCTGAAAGTGTCTTTACTCCCCCCCGTCGCTGCCTAGAACTTTACTGGACAACGCCGGTGTCCTTCAGAACCTCAACAGAACCTCCTTAAGGTGCCCAAATCCCTAAATACACAAAGACTTTTAAAGGGATTCATTTTAGGAAAACTAAGGGACCAAACTGAAGCACTACAGAAAAGACAAAACTGCAGAACTTCAACACTACGAACATAAAAACGATTGCAACCAAAACTTTAAAAAAAAAGAGGGGGGGGGGGGGGAGTCTTTTTGTAAATCTCAAATGTTAAAACCAGCAGCTTCTTTTATTTTTTTGTTCATTTTAAACTTGTATCACTGTGGGAAAAGAAAGAAGTGGAGAAGTGACGGTGTGGAACGATATCGGACAGGAAATTGTCATGTTTGTACATATTTATATAAATATCTTTACAATTTATGGAGCTAACGTTAACAGAACAGCCTTAGATTTTAGTTTCTTTGAATGGAAAGCCGAGTTGTTTTGACATTTTGTACCATTCACAGTATTACTGCAAGTGAACTGATGGGCAGACGATGCGTCTCCTCTGGCATCTCCACGGCTAAACGCAGCACAAGGGTTTATTCCTTTTGTTTTGATATATATCACCTATGTGACTGAGCCAATGCATGCTGCCAAGTTTCCACACAACAACGACAGGAAGTCAAAATTCAAGAATAAACTACACGAAATAGGAAACAGGTTTGCTGCAGAGAAGCTGTGACCGCCGTGGATCTGCTCCGACATTTCATTCTTTGATTTTATTATTTTTTAAAGGGGAAAAACTTTCCGTGTTCAGAATGAACCGTTTGTATATTCAACATTTGAAGTATATTCTATTTTGTTGTACTCTTGTTTCAAAGTGTATTAAAGTAGATTTTACTGAAAAGTACGAACTGCGCGACGTCATTTTGTCCTTTTTCCTCGTCATTTCTTCATACAGGCCGAGTAAACCCAACGCTGACGTCCAGTTTGAGTTTTACAAGAACTTTGTCAACATTAAACAAAACTTGACGACATCGCCTAAAAATCTTTACCGAGGTCAACAGTTGGAGCTTTTGTGAATCCAAAAGCAGAAAACTTGCACAAATACTGCGTATCACTGGGAAACGACGTGAGCAGGGGTCTGTTAGCCCGAGCTGCAAAATGTACTTCAAGGCTGAAATAAACTATAAAAATACAGTTTGTTACATTATAAAGATTTCTGACATTTATTGACGGTTTTAAGTGTTAAAGGAAAACAAAATCTTGTGCAAGGAAATAGTTTATAAAACACAGAACTAAGCAAATCGTTTTAAGTTTTTATTTGTAGATTATTCATACAATAAAAGTATACAACTTTAAAACAAAAGTTAAACTGGCATCCTAATAAGTTAAGGTGAACCAAAAGGTTAAACCAAATGTCTGTTGGACGTTTAATCGCCCGTCCGTTCTCGTCCTCTTATCCGTGGTGCGGTTGTCCACACGTCCCTCCCCAGTGACGCTCCAGCTGCTCCCGGAGGATCTCAAGACGTACAAGCAGCTAAAGGAGCTTCCGCCGTAGGGTGGCCGCGCTCAGTTTTAGAGACGAGGCGAGGAGCAGAGCCGCTGCTCCACTGCGCTGACGGGAGGTGGTCCAACCAAACAGCTGATTGATTTAGGAGGACTCCCTTTGGGTGTTTTCCAGGCACAGAGACCCCAGACCAGTCCCAGAACCCGCTGAAAAGATCTAAAATCCCTGCTGGCCTGGAAACACCTCGGGATGGGATTGTGATTTACTGAATTTCTTCTAATCAAGGGTCAGTTTTCATAAATTTTCCTCCAGCATTTTCTTTAAATATGTGTTAAAATGTTAAATGTTCTGTCCGATTAAAGAAAATCAACTGAATGGTTGAATGTTGGAGCAATGAGGTGAAGGATAAACCATCCGTTTGTTTCGCTGTCAGCTCCGTCAGATTTCATTCACATATCTACAGAAAACTGCACGTCACACCCAAACATAAGGTTATAATTACCAATAGTAGTAAATTTTAGATTATTTTTAATTAAAACCAAAGGGGGACCAAAGAGCTGCATGTGGCCACAGAGCCGCCCTTATGGGGCAAGTTTGATGAAATTGACTTTTTGACACGTGGACAAAATGGGAAGAGTACATAATTTAAAGTAAAAAAAAATAGTAATAAAAATGTTCAACCACCATTTCAACCATTCTTGTAACATGATGCATTTTTTGCTTTTACAGTTTTATTTTTTAGGATTATTTACTACAAAGGAGTCCGTTTTTGTGCACTTTGGGCGCAGCTGAAGGTGCAACGCAGCAGTCTGGTGAGAGAGGTTCATGACGGAAGACTTCGGCAGTGTCGGTCCGCAACCAGAGTACCTCGAGTTAAACACTTGAGTCACAGTAACCAAAACTTTACACTCTGGCTTCAGGGTGTAAAAAAAAAAAGTTTCTTAATCGTTTCACTCAAGCGAAACGTCCTGACTGCTCGTCTTCCTATGGAGTGAAGCAAACCTCGACTCCGAAGGATCCAGACTTCCTTTTTATTGCCTAAAGCTGAAGTCACAAACCAGAGACAGGTGGTCTGATGGATAGTGAAAGGATGGAAGCCTGTTGGGTCCAATTTGCTCCTCGTTGGGCATGTTTAAAACAGCGTCCACCCTCAGCGTGTCCTTGGTGTACCAGATGTAGTCCAGGGTGGTGCAGCACTCCCCCGTGGCTCGGATCTTCCACGTCGTGTACTCCGGCTCCGTCAGGCCGTCCTGACTCAGCTTCTTGTAGGCGGAGTCCAAACCAAGAGGAGACGTCGTGAAACGCCGGTACACCTCCTCAGCCGGCACCGCATTAAAGTCCCCGCAGATGAGCAGAGGTATTTTAACGTCGGAGCCGCGGCCGACGAGCGTCTGGACCAGATTCTGAAGATGCCACAGGAGATCGGATCCTTGGGCGCTGCGGAGCCACTCCCAGCCGGATCGAGCCTTCAGGTGGGTCACGGCCACACACATGCACCTCCTCGTACTGCGGCAACGCAGAGTCATCACCACGGCGACCTGAGGCGAGACGACGCTGCGTCACTGACCTGGTTCATGAGCGTTTTACGAGATCAAAGTGAAGCTTCACTCACCTGATTAGTCGGGATCATCTTAGCCGAGAGCTGGATGTTCACGCTGTCCAGGAGCTCGAACCGGGACTCGTCGAAGAACAGGGCGCAGCCGTCGGGGCCGGTGTTGCCTTCCACATCCAGGCACGGGGACCAGGGTTTGGGGCAGAACTGACTGCCGTAGCCCAAACCTGCCAGAATGGGCTGGAAGGTGTCGTAGAAGTGGTCGACTTCCTGCATGCACAGGATGTGAGGTCGGTAGGTGAGGATCTCCTCCAGGATCAGGAACTTCCTGTGGGACCAGCTGAGGGCCTCCAGAGGACACTGAGCAAAACTGTCCACGCCTACACCCAAAGCTGAGGGTCAGAGGAGGACACGAACATGAGCACGTTGTGTGCGACCAAAACATTACAGGAACATTTTAAATGTTCCAGGTCAGCCAAACGTACATTTATAACGATTAATAAAGCCGAGAGCTTTTAAAAACAGTCATAATGTCTCTCTACAGCTTTCATTCCTGTAACTACCAATGTCTTTAATCATCATTTTATATAAATGGGCAAAGAGAGTTCTGTTGACCTCCAGCTCCAGTGCTTTTTTAAGGAGTGTACATGGTTACAGCCAATTGAGGGCAGCAGACGAGGATACTGAATCAAACACAAAACGTCTTCATTTAAAAATGCACTCAAGCAGATTGAATCACAAATGAGAGGTCAAGTGCCATTGGTTGGTATAAAGTGAGCCGAGATGGGAAACAAACTAACGTGCACAGCAAAGAATGTTGTTTTGTCAGGACTGCACGCAAAAAGAAGCTGTGAAAAAAAAAAAACACAGCAGCTGCATGGACGGAGTGGAAACCATGGTGGGAAGAAACCCACATGGTGATGTATACTGCAGCAGGTGAGGTTTCCCTGGAGCGCTGCGTCTGTGCAGGGTTGCCAGATAAGCAATGAACAACTATTGTACTGTTGCTTTAAAATTATAATATTTTGACCTAAACTGTCACATGCTGAGAGAAGGTGTTGTAAGATGAGACATATGTTGTGCACACAACAGAGAAAAAGAGGGGATAAAAACATGTAATTATGTTAATCTGGCAACCCTGTATGAAAGGTGTAAGCGAAAACGAATATCCCGCAACCATGCGACTACCTGCCGACTGTTCGGCTTCGGATGGAGTATATCAGGCCCTCAGGGGTGTCCAAACCTTTTCATATGTGGACCCAAACTATCCAGACGAAAGGACTCGTGGCCACAAAAATGTGAATTTCACGCTCAACGTGAACAATATTTAGGAGAAAGGTTTACGGATGTTGGTGGAGAAAGAGTTTTAAATTGTTGTAGATCCAAAACGTTAAAAGCCTCAAACACTAAGCTTATAATTTTTATTAAAAAGGATTTGATTTATTTGATTTGTTGAGTGTATGCTTGTTGTTTTCTTGTGTTTTGAAAGTTTGTTTTAGTCGGTTCTCAGCAACAAAAGCACAGTTATGAGTAAGTGTCCTTTTAAAAGGGGGTCGATCAGCCGTTTGGACCATGGACGACCCAAAACGCTGATTAAAGTTCTGAAAAATGGTCCAGCTGTCAGTCGCTACAACAGATTCATGGAAGGGTTGATAAAGTTGATCAACTCGTATGTAGATGACACCACGTTATATTCATTTAAAAATGTCCCGTTTCCCTCTTGATTATTTTATCAACTACGATATTTAGCCACGTTTTATGAATCATCATTTAAAAGCATCCTTTCTGGTAGAAATCAGTAAAAGGTTTTTGGTGCTTTGTACCATGAAGTGAAAATAAAAAGATTACAGCCAAAGGTTTGTATTTTGTTTAATATTGCTCTTTTTGAGAAGATTGTTTTTCATCCGTTTTTCTGTTAAACCTAAACATTATATATAAAAAAGGATTACAAACTAATTTGCAGAACGTCTGCATCGACCTCTTACGCCTGGTGGCCAAAATTATATTATTCTTAAACTGTTGTGGGCCGCACAAAATCACTCAAAGGGCCGCAAATGGCCCTCGGACCGCACTTTGGACACCCGTGCTTTAGACGAACACTCAGACATCGACCAAACTGAAACAGAAAATCTGAGCATCGGCTCAAAATATTGAGTCAAGTTTGAGTCGTAGCCGAGCGAGAAACTACCGTTAGCTTCATTCCACAGATGCTCAACACCCCGACGCATGCACGGTACGAAAACCTAAATCTCTTGGTTTTTAGTCACTTTTACCCTTTGTTGTGTTGATGTTAGCATTTTATTATTAGTGTTTAATATTAATGACGTCTGATTTAAAATTTATTAGTTTACATTAAATAATTTGTGTTCCGAGTGTCTTTAAACGGGATTTTAATGTTTTTATCATGCTCTCAGTTTTTAGTAGATACAAGTGAAACTGAAATGAAGCACCTGAACAAAGAAAAACTGAGGATTAACTCGGAGCTACTTTATTTCCCTCCTCTCCCTCAGCTGTCGTTATTTGAGGTTTGGCAACAGTGAAGTTTTCAGATTTGTCTCTTGGCCGTTAATATTTTTACATAAAATGTGTTTCGGTTAACGTCAAACATTCTTTAACGTTCAGAAAACTTTTCGTTTAAATTTAACTTTTATCTAAAAATTACTTTTAAAGGCCTTCAGGGTCGATCAAAACTGGCACATTCACTCATAACCAATTTATCTGTTGTCAAAGTAAAGCAGTGATTAATGCTCTGCAAACAAGATTATTTTAGTGACTAAATAACTAAATGGAAGCGATTTAATAGACTAATGTGTAAAAATAACTTTTATTATTAAACTTTCTGTTGTATCAAAGCCTACAAGCAGTCCAGATGGTTTTTTTTGGGCTAAAATCTGGAGCCTACCTTGGGCGAGGATGTTCCACTGCATCACCCTGATGGGGCTGCAGGGGGCGCTGTTTCCGTTCCCATCAGGGAGGTGAACAAAGCTCCTGAGGAACCGAGGTGGTCGGTCCCTGAGGGCCTCCTCGCACTGATGAAGGAGCTCCACGGGGTCAGGGGGGCACACAGAGGAGCCCTTCTGCAGGACATGAAGGATTCAGTTCGATATTTACTCAGAAATCAAATCAAATCAAATCATACGAGTTCAGGAGAAGTCCTACCAGGCAGAAATCTGGATCCAGGTTTGTGATTGTGGGCTGGTGGGAGTCCAGGTAGGATGAGGAGAGAGGAAGAGGAGCGCCGCTGCTGTTGAAGGTCTGAATCAGGGTGGTGCACAGCCGGGTGGCTCCGCCGCCCATCGGGTACACTGCTGACGAGAGCAACCCCCCCCCAGGATGAGCTTTCTGACAAACAGCTACGTTCAGAAACGCGTTTCTTGTTTTTACTGGACGTTCTGCTTCTTCTCAACCAAGAGCAGCTTACAGAACAAATATATTCTCTTGCAGTTTTGGTCCGGGAAGAAGAAAAGACGACAGTTTCTCACAAAGTATTTTTAAAAACGCCCATATTTTTCTGGGGAACGTTTTAATTGAATAAAAACGATAATTGAAAGAAAACAAGGTTAAATGAAAAGAATAAAACATTCACAGCTTTGATGCTGCGATTCAGTGAGTTTGTACAAATGTGACGAAGCATCATTTTGTTGTAGTCGGCCGTCACCGCACCCTTCTCAAGAACTATTTCACACAAAGTCACCTTCTGCTCGGTGTGTCGAATTCATGAGAAATTAAAGGTTAAACGACACAACAAAGGCAACAACGTGTTCCTCCGGTCGAACAACCAAATCTAAACTAAACTTTAAATAAAAGCTTCAAATGTTTCACATTTTTCTAATATTTTAAGACAAAACCATCTAAAATAAAGCACCTTAATCAGGCCCTTGGGGTCTGGGGACGTGCTCAAAGCGAAAGGCCAAAGACGAGCTGCAGGAACAATAAGAACAGCTGCTCGTTTAAAACTCCCGGCTCGACGAGATTCTCGTCACTCCGAAAAACAAGAACAAAAAAAATTCCAGGGAGTAGTCTGATCCTCCCACGCTGCCCTTCAGACACGACGTGCGATTAGAAGAGATTTAAATGACGGCGTGAAGTTGGACTCGTTACTAAAGAACAGATCAGCTCAAATGTTCTGATTAAAGTGTGGGATATTCCCTCCATCATCGAATCTGCACTCGTTCATTCCAGTTGTTGGAGCGTCTCGTTATTTTATGCAACATTCAGTGATTAGTGTCAAGTCTTTAAATATTTGGAGCAGCAACACCAGACCAGACATTTTCAACACCTTAGAGAGAGTTTCAGAAACGGGAGCAAACTTTTAACACACATTCAGAAAAGGTGATCTTTAACAGAAATATTATAAAAAAAATAAACTTTAGAACTAAACGGCACGAAGCTGAAAAGATGTGCCGTTTTATTTTAATAAAGCAAAACTATTTTTTAAATCTTTAATCATTGTGGCAACTTTAAATGACTTGATTTATAAATGCTGAAATACAAAGCAGCCCATCAACTTTCTGATTTAAAGACCTGAACCTAAAACCTGCAGAAAATAGAGTTTTTGTCTAAAGCAGTTAATATTCTTAGTTTTACGCTAATTTTTGTAACTATTTGAGCCAAATTGAACTTTAAAACCAAGTGGCTCAGAGTGCACAAACGCAACAGACTCGTTCAGTTTTAAAAGACCACAAATAATTTAGATTTTTATTATATTCATGTTTAATTAAGTCAGTGTATGTTCTTATTAACAACATACAAAAAAGGAAAAACCTTATTAGATTTTGTTAAAATATTTAATTTCTACCAGTTTTCTTCATATTAAATCAAAGAAAATCAACCATAAATACATCAAATAATATATATTAACGTGTCCTGATTAATAAATTGTTAAATATTTGCACTTTTTATACCCCTAACAGCATTTTCCATGAGAGCTTACCCACAGTCTCCATCCCTGGCTTGTGTAAAGATCAGCTTCCTGTCAGCGGAGTCAGGTGTGCTGGCCGGCCTCGGCTGCTGCCTTTAAATCCTCTGCTTGGAGGACAGATTAGGACGTGGACGTCACGTGACCACATGGAGCTGCAGGTCACGTGCTGCGGAGCTGGTTCAGTGTGTTAGTGTGTTGTTATGAATCGACTGCTGCCGTGCAGCTGCGTAACGAAGCACGGGGGCAGAAATGTGCGAGGAGTCGGCAGCGACGTCCCGAGCCTCGAGTGTTGTAACAGCGCACGCTTGACGCTGAAAACAAGTTGATATGTTATGTAAGTGGGTTTTTTCCACGTTGAAGCCGGTGTTTTTCCACACTAACATAACTAAATGTTGTTGCCGTCTCAAAAATGTAAGTTCGAACATGTAAAATGAGACGGTGTATGTTCACAGGAGTTAACCCCGCAGGTCCAAAACATCCACAGCGTCGTACAAGAAGCTTTCCACTGCACTGCTTCAGTCTGCAGTGCTTCAGTCTGCAGTGCTTCAGTCTGCACTGCTTCACTCTGCACTGCTTCACTCTGCAGTGCTTCAGTCTGCAGTGCTTCAGTCTGCAGTGCTTCACTCTGCAGTGCTTCAGTCTGCACTCTGCAGTGCTTCAGTCTGCACTCTGCAGTGCTTCAGTCTGCACTCTGCAGTGCTTCACTCTGCAGTGCTTCAGTCTGCAGTGCTTCAGTCTGCAGTGCTTCAGTCTGCAGTGCTTCAGTCTGCACTGCTTCAGTCTGCAGTGCTTCAGTCTGCAGTGCTTCAGTCTGCAGTGCTTCAGTCTGCACTGCTTCAGTCTGCACTGCTTCAGTCTGCACTG